AAAAAAAAACCTAGACTGCGTCAAGCTTTGAGCACTGTTGCGGAATGTGATTTGTTTTATAGCACACATAATGATACAGTAATCACCTCATTGATGAGCTCATAACTAGAATTATTAGAGGCACAAGAAGAGAGTTATGAGACTGGATTGAAAGCACCTGAGATTCGGCTAAGAGCATAGGGTCAGCTGAGGTTGAAACTCATATCCAGCTGACCTTTGATTTCTCTCAGGATTTCTTTTAGTTCTCAGTGTACTGCTTCATATGGCATGACTTTGATTGAGCAGTAGTAGTATGTACATGTTGAATTTTTAGAAAAACCGCTGTATTTAGCGGATCTTGAGCAGAATTAGCCGCGTCGACTTGTGTGTGAGACCTTATACAGTGCTCCAAAGCGGGAATTGTCATAAGGACGCTCCACTCATGACGATTACGGTAACAGATGGCCGATGAGTGATGGTGGAACGACCGCGAGCGGCGACTTCGGTGGATGGTGGAGATCGAACCGAACGATTATCTTCATCCCGACAAATGGATCCGTGTACTGATGGAGGTTCGTAGCGAGGAGGATACAGGTACTGAATAGCCATCGGTGGCGACTCTGGGCTAGTTGGGGAGGATGGTGCAGTGCTGGACAACGATCGTAGTGGATCGAATATTACACCCTTCTCGATATCGGAGTAGAGTGGAGGAGGCGATTGGCTCGATGCGATCGCTGAAAGAGGAGATATGATCACTATCCAAAAAGATTGCACAACTTTTAGTATAATCAGTCAAAAATCCCAAACATAAACCACAGTCCCATCAAATAAAAGAGAACTGGTCCCGTTGACTTTCTGTTCACTTATTATGGTGATATTCCTAATTTGCAGACTTTCACATCGGGATGAAAACTGGTCCCTAACATTTTCTATTCAATCTGTCCTATTTTCCACATAAAATCTCATTGTTCCCATTAAACTCCTTAAAAATCATTTACAAGCGCCGCACACAAAAATTTGTCCCTAAGCTTTTGGCTTAGTTGCATAGTCTAATTTCTCGTTGCTATAGACTGTACTCCTTAATGTGGAACCTACTGTAAAGAGATACAACCCAAAAACCAGG